CGAACACATTTTTCCGAAGAAACTATCCCATCTGTGGTAGGGCAAGACGAGAATTCCTCAACTTTTTTCAATGAAAATATAAATATTCAATGCTAAATTACTGTTAAAAATTTTTGTCTGAATTTTCCGCGCCAAATTCCAGAAATTTTTATGGTGTTCCAATTCCACTGAAATTTCAGGAAATCTTGTCATTGAAAATTCGCAGTTTCGTGGAAAAATCAAACAGAACCGTAATTTTCCATTCCATTTTACCCTGAAAATGCATAGAAAATCAGAAAGTTCTGGTAAATATATTCTTGAACTTTCAGGATAGTGACATTGAACGCGATTTAGTGAAAAAAAAAATACTGAAATTTCAGATTTCACTGTAAATTCAATGCAATTTGACACCGAATATTCATATTAGATTGGAAATTCAAATAAATTAAGGAATCCTCGTCTTTATCCCCCATAAAATTCTGGATTTTACTGAACTTTCAGTGAAACCTGACATTTCATAATTTTCCCCCCCTAAATCGCATTCAGTGCACAGAGAAAAATGTTCAGTAAAAATTACGGAACTCACAATTCGCTCACCGATGACGGAATCGACTCAAAAAATTTAAGTCTCGGTATTCCAATTTTTCACAGGATATTCAGCTAAAAATTACGGAATGCCCCAGAAAAATTCCGTGAGATTTTAGTTAAAAATTGCGTGTCAGTTCCGTAAAATTTCCTACAATCACATTTCGCTCCGGAATCCCGGAAAAAATACGTAATTTTTATTGAATATTTCTCTCCGCGTGTCACCGCCTTGAAAATCTATAGTCAATTGTCCGCAAAATGTCACTTTTCCCACAGCATACGTTAAATTCTCAATCACTTCAAGATTCAATATTACCCTATCTCCCCAAAATGTATTCCATTGTCCACCAATCGCCCCTCGTCACACCGCCTTAATCACCCCCCCCCCCCCCCCCCCCNCCCCCCCCCCCATCCAATAGCCAAGCAAGCGCCGCTAATCCCCATAAAACGTGAACAAAAAAGCAAAACAAAAAAAACTTGAGCGTTCCAAAAATAACCATCCCCTATTTCCTCCCGATTACCACACGAGAGCTCCCCGCACCCCGCAACATACCCGCGTGTGCGATGTTGTGATGGGTGGAGCGAGGTGAGAGAAACAGAGAGGCGGCTCCCGAGCTTGTAATTATGTTGATACGAATGATCTGCGGCTCGCCACAGACCTAAGGTGCCTCCAGCGGTGCTCACCGGCTGCTGCTATATATCCCTCTTCAAAAGGATATACACAAGAGTGTGCATCACTCCCCCTCCCCCTCCCCCTCCCGGGGACTCCTCATCCCCGTCAGCAATGACTCTCGCCTCTTGCTTATGCCTTCATGCATGCGAGTCTCATCGTCTTCCTCAATCTTGGGGGAGCCCTTCGGAAAGGGCTTTAGGACCGTGGCGAAACCAGTTTAAGTGGCTAAGTGTAGATGTAATTGATTTCCATTTTACGAGGGCCTCTCTTGGAAGATGCGCGCACACCGGTGAGACTATATATACCGCCCCCCCTGCGCACACGCGTAATCCTTGGCGGTGCCCTCCTCGGCATCGCCACCTTTCGGGGGAGAGGGAGGGCACTCACATACGTTTCAGGTCCTTCAGCTCCTCTTTTTCCCGCGTGTTAATGTGCATTATGCATCCCCGGTATATTCGTCCCGCGGTAATGCAAAAGTTTTCATGTACTCCGGGTGATGGGTTATGTTGGTAATTTCAGCGGGGATGTGGTGGAACGTCGCATCGTTAGCGGGAGACCTCTTTACCTCACGTCGCACTGAGAGCTGGGGGTTTTTACGTTTCTGGAGGATGGAGGTGAGGAGAATTGGCTTTTTGCTTGCGGATGGAAGAATTGTGTTCGGCAATTCCAAGATTTTTTATTTTTGTGGGCAGGATTTTTCAGCACTTGTGCGGAAAGCGAAATCCACCGGCTGTGAAAATGGGGGTGCTAGGCCAGAGAAACTGTCGTTTTGACCTCCCTGAGATAAAATATTGTACACGAAGAGAAAAATTCAATAAAAATTACCAGGAAAAAACGCAAAAATTACGTTTCGAAACGTAATCCGCGAGCGAAGTAAAATTCAATAAAAGTGAGAGTCGGAAGTGAAATTGTACGAGTCGCCACGTAAATTCTACGATTTCTTCCGTAAAAATTAACCAGCCGTCTGATGACTCACCGCTGTGGGGACAAGTCGTTCTGTAATTTTTCCCCAACGATTGAGAAATTTTACGGAACGGAATGTCGAAATAACTCACCAGCTTCATAAAAAATGTTGAACGTTCAACAATTTTTGATTTTCGAGGAATAATAAGTCGGCAAGTTTCTGTAAGATTTTACTTCTTCGGGAAAAATTACGTGACAACTGAACGTTTCAGATTTCTTCTCTTCCATTCCTACAAAAATTACCGGAAAACGATTCCCCATTGCGGAATATGTGAATTGTTCCGTAATTTTTACTGAATATTTCTCTCCGTGTATGTTACACGGCGATAAAGAGAGCCATGTTTCCGGAGCCTGCCGCCTCCTTTGTCTATTCTCACGTCGTAGAAGCGCGTGAGAGCGCGGCGTCAGCCTAGTCACGGTGAAAACTACCAAGACCTTCTACGGACGGACAAAAGAATAATGTACAGTAATAATTCAATGTTTGAAGTTATGAGCGCGCAGTTAAATAATTATCCCAAAACCAGCGATATTACGTCTTCAGAAAAATTGAAACTACAATAAGTCAGCACGAAGCCTCGGAAAACATCAAAGTATTTAATCATTCAAGGCCCTTCGGAGGAATCAGAATGTAACAGACCTCAAGGTGCGCTCTCAGACGTGCTCCCGGGGTTTCAGGGCCCACCACGAGTCTCACCCGAAGGTGTTAGTCACGGATAAAAGAGAGAGACTCTCTGAAATGGACTCTCGTGCTCCTGCCTCTAAAAATAATTGCGCGCTGACAGGCCGTGAAATGAATTTATTTAATTTCAGATAGGTATAAGGGAATTACACGGCAGTTGGTAGTACAATCGACTCCAAATCGTAAACCGCGGTATAAACATCACTTTCCCGATTCACAGCAGATGAAAAATATCTGAAAATCCTTCGAATTGCCCATTTAATTTGATTATTCACTGGTCTGACGGCGCACGACGTGAGAATAGACAAATGAGGTGGGGATATTCGCGATATTCGATTCGATATTTGTGTGCCACAAATTTCGAGAGATGACGTATAGTGCCTCATAAATAAGTATTAAAGGTACAGGTGAAGACAAAAATTATATCCAAAATTTTACTCAAAATTCATTTATTCGTTTTCTTTCTCTCGCTACATTTTCGATTACCTCTTAGTTTAATCAACTAATAGGACATTTTTCATTCACTCTCCTTCACTATGTACAATTTTCTCCCGCAAGAGGAGACGAAGGGGTTAATACTATCGTGGTATGGTACAGCCGTTGGGAGAGAACAATAGGACGAGCAAAAAACAAAATTCTTGAATCCAGCACGAGTGTTTTCCTACTAATGTGGCTTTATAGCTACATTTCAAGAATTAATGAAAAACAGTATTTGTTTTTTTACGTAAAAAAACGTTACGTGACAAAATAATTCGGGATATATTTGTCTTATTTCTTCTCCGCTCGTCGCACGGCGCCCCGTCACGTGCCCCTTCAACGTGAGAATAGACGAATAAGATGATAGACATGAAGTGTCTGTGTATTTTCTTACATTTATTTAGATAAGAAACGACACGTGACAAAATAATTTGAGATATTTTTCTCTAAATAAAGATGAACGTTTCATTTCTTCTCCGCTAGTCTCACGGCGCCCCGTCACGTGCCTCTACGACGTGAGAATAGACGGAAAAGATGATAGACATGAAGTGGATGTGTATTTTCATCCATTCAATGTCTTTTCAGTAACAATTAAATATAAACAAAATCGAAATTCTTTTCGCACTTCACTTAAATATTTTTTTAAAAAAAGGAAATGTTTAAAAAATTAGTCGTCACTACAGACCCTATAAAGAAGAAAGTCATGAAGAAATGGAAAAAACCTCGTGCTGGATTCAAAGCAAAATAATTCGGTAACACTTTTGATAAACAAAAATTCATATAATAATTTCAATAATCTCTTACACTGGTTTATACTTAACATAATGACCCGTATACTTATATACACTTCGATTTACTCCTAAAGATTTATCAATATTTACACGATGCTCAGTTAACTGAAACAAATAGCCATTACCTAAACGTTTTTAATTAGTCCTTTGTGTTACAATCACTTGTTTGATTAATTACTACTTAAAAAATCTTGGGTAACGGTTACATTACACGAGATTAATTACCTCAATTAACGCTGATAGTCTTTCACAGGGATTTTTTTTCCTCCGTCGAGGAGCAAAAGAAAATTGATATCCGCTGATTCTTCATTACCGCACTGTACAATATACATCTACTTACTATACATACGTACAACTATTACAATTAATTAGGTTTATCATTCTCTGGCTGGGCTAATTCTTTGGCTCTTCTCTGGGCAAAGTGAATGGTAAACTTTACGATGAACGAGTGGTTGAATCACTGAGTTTGAGAAATACTTCGAAGATAACTTCTCATCACTTGAAAATTAGTGACACAAAACAATTATTTCACTGAGATTCACCGATTTATGTGAACGAAATAAATAATTTTCCAAACATTAAAAACATTTAAAAAACGACTGAACAAAATTTACGCCTCAATTCAAGCGGAAAAATGTCTTTTTATTGTTCCAGTTTCATAAATAAAAATAAATACTCCCAAAGCCACTAATTTTCGAAGGATAATAGAAAAAAAATTGATCACCCCAATAATTTAAAGTCTCTAAAGACTCCCCTAAATCCTGAAAATACACCGCGACAAATTCACCGGTAAGAAATGGCGTATCGCCTTGAAAATAAAAAAAAAACCTAGAAGACATTGCGGTGGGGGTCGCTAATTGGGGGTGGCCGGGCGTGCGCGAAGCGGTGGTGACGTAGACATAGCCGTTGGATAGGGAGTGTACCTAACCCCAGCGGACGTGGAAGAAGAACGCCGAGAGATCATAGCGACCGGTGGTTGCCAGGACCACGAGAGGGCGGGGTAGGGGAAGGAGTGAGCTGGATAGGGTGACGGTGTGCCGCCCCTGCTGCCGTAGAGTAATGTTGATGGCTGCAGCCACGCCGGTGACAGCGGATGCTGTTGATTCTCCGATGGTCCCTGTTGCTGCTGCTGTTGGGCATTGATTGCAGCAGCGGCCGCTGGTGAGGTCAATGCCAGATGCTCATAGAGTCTCACTGGTGGCACACCACATCGCACCAATTGCTGCTCCATCAGCTCCATCGGATCCCTGCGAACATCGAGGCAAAACAAAACGGAAATTAACAACTGGGTAAGTCATTTAAATAATCATTCCTCGTAGATATAACTCGCTGATTACTGGCAACTGATTGCAAATGAGAAATCCAGGGGATTCAGAGATATAACTCGAGCGGCTGGGGGGGGGGGGAGATTGTCGAAACTTCCGGGGGCAGTGTGTACTGTGTGTTACATGCAATCGTGATGAATGATTCCTCTTGCGCGCGAGGTTCGCTTAATTAGGGACAATCACGTTGCGATTGTGAATCGATTTCACGCTTGATTACAATCGAGGGGCTTGGGAATACTCAACCATGCTGACTGGGCGAATTATTCGATGGGTATATGTGGGTACAAAACGATGGGTTATGTACTGTACTGAGGAGTTTAATCGTTACTTGGTGGATATCTACGAGGCTCACCGTAATTAACGCAGAATACTGAGAGAGATCATGGCTGCTTCAAGTACATGTTTATCTGAGTCATTTCCTACTTTCCCGTGGGACACGCTTGGGGTTTGATTGGGGTTTTGATTTTTTTTTATGGATTGGGAATATTGGTTTTGATTCGAGAATTATTATTTGCGGGATTAAGTTGATGTTTGTTTTATGAATACGGTTTCATGAATATTTTTGGACTATTTGAAGTCGGTTTTTTTGCTTCTGAAGCGGAATATTCTATGCGTTGAAATATTAGTACTTTTTGAAAAAAAAAATTTTCAATTCAATCGATTCAATCAAAAGAATTTTTTTAGTTGGGATTTAATTGGGATTTAGTCGGGTCTTAGGGGAGGCTTAGCGGGGTTTCATGTGGGTTTAATCAGGATTTAGCTGAGAGTTAATCAAGGTTTAGTCGAGGTTTAAAGAGAGTTTACCTAGAATTTAATTAGGGTTTGGTAGGGTTTTAATGAAAGTTATTTTTCAACGATTATTTTGAAAATTATTGTTTAGATGAATTCAATAATGACTCAAAAATTTTTTTTTAGTCGGAATTTAATTGGGATTTAATCGGGTCTTAGTAGAGACCCATCAAGGTTTAATCTGGGTTTAATCGAGATTTAGTTAAGAGTTAATCAAGGTTTGGTCGAGGTAGTCAGAATTTAAACAGGGCTTAGTCGGGTCTTAGTGGCAACCTTCATCAGACTTTAATCTAGGTTTAATCGGAGTTTAGTTAGGATTTAATTAGAGTTTAGTCAGGTGTTAGTGGAGGCCCATTAGTTTCATCAAAATTTAGGTTTAATCAGGGCTTAATCGAGAGTTAATAAAGCTTTAGGCAAGGGTTAATCAAGAATAAGTAACGATTTAATCAAGGATTACGAAGGTCTGAGCGGATACTTTCACGCGGGTTCGATGCAGCTTTAATCAGAGTTTAGTAACGACTTAATCAAGACTTCATCAAGGTTCAACCAAAATTCATTATCGGTGATCCCCAAAACCCCTCCGTGTCCGTTCTAAAATCGCTGAATATGCTCCGAAAATTCCGAAAAAGCAATCATCAGACCCTATCAGAAGAACCCGTTCATTTCCAAACAAATCATCCACTTATTTCCACAGCACTTGCATTAAATTACAATCGTAAAATCAACTGAAATTGACATTAAAAAATGCCTTTACACCTTCCCTCGTCTCAACAGCATCAATTTACTCGTCGAATGGCCGAATGGTGGCTCAGAAAAACACGAAAGTGAGAATTGAGGTGAAGAACAATGGAACTCTTGGTGTCTCGCTTACAGCTTGGGCGGTTTGCTGCTTAGCACGTAACTCGATAGCCCTCACCTCGCAGATATACATATACATTACGGCCTGTGCAATCCCAGGGTGAACATTTGAGACACCCATACACACGTGCATTTTCGTGTCTGAACACGCGAGCTAAGGGGAAAAGGGAGGAAGAAGGGATTAGTGGGAGAGCGGTGAGGAGGATGGGGGAGGGGAAGGGAAGCCTCGGGCTAATCGCGCCGTCCGTTCCCTGGACGTGCCGGACCACACACCGCCGTGTCCACCGGCCATTCCTCTTCACGCTCTCCTCGAAAAAAATATATATCATCGATTGCTGTCTCCCCGAAAGTCTATTAGCCGATTTTTTTCGATTGATATCGCTTCAGGGCGGCGGGTAATACCGTCGATGCGAAGAGATCGATTTGTTTTTATTTCGACGATATCGTCTTCTTCGTCTCGTGGGGACCCTTTGAATCGTCGAATTGAGACATTGCCCACTTTTAATTACGAAACAGAATTTTCTGAAAATAATGCGGGAGTGAGGATAATCGAGAGGCGTTGAAACGAGAAATGAGAGATTCGAGGTTAATTGAGGCGATGGGAAATAATATATCTGTTCGATTGTAAATCTTTCATCCGCTCGGTGCTGCGAAGAAAATTTTAATCGTCAATAACTCTTGAGACACCATCAATGTTTCTGCCATCAAGATTAACGCGAGGTCATAAAGTTTCTCACTCCGTTTATCAGACTCTATCGTTAGAGGGGATTCTTGGGTGAAAAACCGCATGGCAAATTTAAAATTGACTTCACTGGTGGAGCGCTGTCACAGCTGGTGTCTTCAAGATGTTTTAATTCGAGTCATATGCATTTGACTTACGAAATGAGTCATCGTAGGATTGAACGAAAAGATCCTCGACTCAAGAAAAACAAGTGGGAAATTGTTCTATTGCCTTCATCTTCGAACTCGGTCAAAAGGACGTCCAAGCAATTTTTTTTTCGTTGTCGTGGGACAGCCGATTTTCGAAAAAATTCGGAAATTAAAAAAACTAATCGATGAATTAAGTTTCAATTTTAATAAACGTCTTAAAAAAAGGCACAAAAGTGTCTTAATTTCAGACACCAGTTTTTCTAGGGATTATTATTTCCCAGAATTGCCGGATAAAATTGTAACGGAAATTGCAGAATCTCGGAATGAAATTACATCTTTAAAACTGCATATCACATTCTCAAAAAGTGTCTTACCCTCACATGCGAGCTGACGTGAATAAATCCAAGTGTGGGAAATGCCAAACGGAAATGACGCGACTCAAATTCACCCTCCCCCCTTCGCATTGGCAATTGTAAACTCGGCCTTGAATTATCGTTAATGTTTTCATAAAGCTTCCTCGCGTAAAATAAAAATCCTAATTACAGCCATTCACGATCCACCGTTGACTATCTCGTGGAGTGGAGTGGCTCACTGCGGGCCCCCTCTCCTATTATTATTCCTGTACGGACAACACCAGCCGTCTCTGTCTGTACGCGCACCCGAGGTGCTCCTTACACCAATAAATATATGATTCCCATCGATTGCACCGATTATTATGCACATTTCCGTATAATGGTGCAGTTGGTATACCAAACACGCTCTAATTAGAAGCTGCGGTGTTTCTTCGTGTAACCCTCCTCCGTCGGGAATAACACATGAGCTTGAGGTATCGTTAAACTACCGTTATGACATTTGCAACTCCTCCTACTTCGGAGGGTAATAGGAAAATATTGTTTATGAATGGTCTGATGATAATTTATCATGTGGAGGAGGTAGAATTCCGGGAATTCTTCGGGACTGCTATACGGAATTTTTAAATTTCCGGGGATTTTTCAAAAATTACGGAACAATTCACGTAATCCGCAATGGGGAATCCTTTTCCGGCAATTTTTATAGGAATGAAAGAGACGAAATCTGAAACGTTCAGTGAATTTTCACGTTCGTCACCGAACAAAGTACCAAATTGTCACGTAATTTTTCCCGAAGAAGTAAAATCCTACAGAAAATTGCCGACTTACTATGCCTCGAACAACAAAAATTCTTGAACGTTCAACAATTTTTATGAAGCTGGTGAGTTATTTCTACGTTCCGTTCCGTAAAATTTCTCAATCGATGGGGAAAAATTACGGAACGACTTGTTGTCCCCACAGCGGTGAGTAATCAGACGGGAGGTTAATTTTTACGAAACAAATCGTAGAATTTATGTGGCGATTCGTACAATTTCAGTTCCGACTCACACTTTTTACTGAATTTTACTTCGCTCGCGGATAACGTTTCACACCACATATAATTATACCCATTCATATTCCATACATGCAACATACTCGCGAGTCTAACCCTCCCCCGCCCCCGTTATTTAGTGCCCCGCCAATGTGGCATGTTCTCCTCGACAACTTTTCAGGCGATTGAACAGGATGAAGATCGATCATTGTGCTTGTCGCATTGAATCCCCCATCGAGTTGTCTCCATCACGCGATGCCCTTTTCCATCGAGTAAATACACCAGTCTGGGGAATTACATGTCCGACCGCAGCAGAAATCCAAAAAAAGCCTCACGAGTAGCGCGTCGGCACCTTAAGAAGATGACCGCGGCGAAGGCGGCATCCTCTCCTTTTATCCGCCTTCAAAAACCCGACGACACGTTCCACGCGAGGAACACCCCATAGGCAAAATACTCCCCCCGCCGAGCCACCAGAGACACGACCACCATGCACTCCAACTGCAGCCAATACATAACCTCCGTGGATGCGAATTCCATCGAATCTTCGGGTGAGAAGGGGGAGGGGAATCTCACCCCTCCCCATTATTCTCACCTGAGGCCCTGACAGGGCATTATCTAAGTGGTAGATAATAATAGGTTACACCCCGCGATGGTCGCTCATTCGCTCCTCTATGCTCTCTCCACACACGTGCAATAAAATTTTTGAGGGGGAGAGGATGGCCGGAGGATGGGGGTCCGGGGAATCTCTGGGGGAATAATTATAACTGGAAAATATCTTTGGGTATGTGGAGGTGAGCAGGTTGCAGAGGTCATGGTCCAGGAGCCCAGATCAGTAAGTGAAGATGTTTTTTTTATATTATCATTTTGTTTGAGTTTTCCGTTAGTCATTTTAACATTTTATAGCTATAAATAGCAATAAAAATGTTCCATTTTTATAAATTTCCAAGTGACTTTTCAATTCTATGAAATTTTTGTGACGTAGCCTCTGTGTGATCTCCATATTCAGTCCAAATAGCAGGGACAATGTCCAACTACTCAAATGGCATGACAAAAATGGGTGACGAAAAAAAAACGATAACATCTCCAGTGCATCCCTAAGTTATATTCTATTTCTCCGGGAATCCCCCAACTCCCGGAATCCCGAATTTCAGAGGCACTGGATCCTCATTGGCCGTCGACTTTCCCGCGTTAAATTCAAATTTCCCTAAAAATCATCGCAATATGCATCGCGAACACAAAAAACAAAATCCTGACGGAAGGAACTCGAAAAAGCCCTCCTCCATCTCAAATGGACCAAACCCGAACTCCGTAAAAACCGTAAAATAACAATTAGCGTAGAAATTATTTGTGACCATCATTTTACTACTCTCTTCTTACTCATCCCTACTAGTGCCCGCCAAAAGCGCCGTCTCCGGGAATCCCCCAACTCCCTAACCCCGGAAACCCGAGACCCTGACTCCCCATTGGCCGTCGCCTTTCCCGCGCTAAATTCGAATTTCCCTAAAAATCATCGCAATACGCATCGCACACACAGGAAGGCCAAACCCTCAAGATAAAAAAACCAAAACCCCGACGAAAGCAACTCGAAAAAGTCCTCTCCCCCATCTCAAATGGTCCAAACCCGAACTCCGTAAAAACCGTAAAATAACAATTCGCGTAGAAATTATTTGTGACCATCATTTTACTACTCTCTTCTTACTCATCCCTACTAGTGCCCGCCAAAAGCGCCGTCTCCGGGAATCCCCCAACTCCCTAACCCCGCAAACCCGAGACCCTGACTCCCCATTGGCCGTCGCCTTTCCCGCGCTAAATTCGAATTTCTCAAAAAATCATCGCAACACGCATCGCACACACAGGAAGGCCAAACCCTCAAGATAAAAAAACCAAAACCCCGACGAAACCAACTCGAAAAAGTCCTCTCCCCCATCTCAAATGGACCAAACCCGAACTCCATAAAAACCGTAAAGTACCCCCTCCCCCCTCAATACACACCAGGATATATCAGGGCTTTTAGTTGCGAGAGAAGGCCCGGTAAGATGGGTAACGGCGTCGAAATTAATAGCCATAAAATATGAATAGAAATTAGCAGGTTCGGGGTGGCGTGACGCGTTTGCTCGCTCATTTCCTTTCGGCGCGTTGAAAAACAACAAAACAACAAAATACGGTTTTCGAGCCTGTAATTTACCCCGGCTGCCGCCAACCGCGCGGCACAGCCACTCTCCGCGCCCTTCCCCGGTGAAACCTCGAGCATGTACATGATCTCCTTCGATATGCGTGTGAGAGTATGCAGCCGGCGCATCTCCCTCCGTCTCGCCGCGTCTCGCAGGACATCCTCCTCTCCTCCATTCTCCGCGTGCATGTAGCGCGTGTGGACGTTTAGGGATCGTGCGCGAAAGCAGCGAGAGGCTTTTCAGGCCGGTCTCCATCATCCTTTGCTCTCGTCGCACGGTAGGGTATAGGTAGGTAATGATCCGGTAATGACCCTGACGCCTTTGCCAAAGTATTATTCCACCTTCAATGCCCCCATGGCAATCATGCCCGGTGAGATCGAGCATCGATCCCTCTCTTACTTTTTTACATTCTCATTTTATTTTTTTTCACTCATATATCCCCATTCGGTGCTCTCGCTGCGCGCCAGTCCTTTTGTTTTTGCGTTTTAAACGGCAGTTATTAGCGTTCTCCGATGGGGTCCCCCCCCCACTCCCCCCCCTCTTCACTCATCCCCTTTTTCTCACCCCGGAGATCATCCTCCTACTCCTCTGCATGTGCGTCCGCCGCATGTGTGTGTGCGCGGCGGCGGCGGTAATGACAGGCCGCTCGCTTTCGAAGCTAATATAGATGAATGCCCTGCCCTCCTTGCCCTCCGGTATACTCTCAAAAGGATGAAGGAGCAAAAAGAGCAGAGGGAGATGAAGAGCGAAATACGTTCGTACGTGGACAGGACAAGGGCGTGTAGCCGTGGAGAAATCCGAAAGTAGAAACGAAGGGATAAACTTGGGAGGAAAAAAAAAGGTGAGGTTGCGCTCGGGGAAATGAGTGCGAGCGCGAGGACTCGGGGAAATGAAGGTGAAAAAGCGGAGGGATGGGATGGGGAAAAATAAAACAGAAGGGGTGTGAGGGTCCGCCGGGAGGCTAAAGTGGCCGGAGGGGCATCTATCTATCAGCGCCGGCGTGAAGTGGGCGGGCGCATGCGCGGTATTGCCGCGTAAGGCCGCTCTCTTATTAACTCGGATGCCGCCGCTCAGGCGGCAGCATGCGCATGCGCTACGAGGTTACGTGTTATCGGCGGCAGGTTTTCAGGACTGAAATCGGTCGGGCTGGGCGGGCGGCGGGGGAATCTCTAACACATCTCTCAGGGCTTTCTGCAACGGCTTCCTCCGGAGGGATATCATCACTGCTTGATAATTCGTACGTGCTGGACCGCGCCCCAAAGCTCGATAGCCGGACGGTTTGCGGGTACTCGACTTGCGCGACACGTCGCTGCGATCGGCCGTGGGCTTATGGTAGGACTTCGCGGGGTTGTTCATTGCGATTCGGGGGGGGGGGGG